TTTTTTTTTTTTTTTTTTAAATTTGATGCAGTTGCTGCCATAGGCAGTGTGACCAGGAAGCAAGATGGTCAACTTAACCAGATCAAGACACAAACAGCAGGTTAGTGAAGCACACTGCTGAGTCTGTCTCTGCGGGGCACAGAGCCAGGCATGAGGGAACCACACTGGATTCCTAGGCTTTTTCTAGACAAAAGAGAGGCACCTAACTCATTCCCTTCAGTCCTGGGGGACCGGTTGGAACCCTAGGGTTACCTTGTGGCTGTGTCTCCAGACCTCGGAAGAAGCAGCTGCAAAATCTCCCCGAAAGTGGCACAGCTCAGGGAGGGGTCTGGGCCCATTACTGGGGCTCAACCTCTCCAGACCCCCATAAGCTGTGATGAACACTACCAGCTCTTCTGAAGACTCCTGGTTTTGGCCCTGCCATTATTAAAGTAGATATGATGGCTGTCAATCTGTCAGTTCTTTAGGATCCCCTGCCAAACCCTGCCTGGTAGCGGTAGCTGCCTTGGACACACCAGATCTGGGAAGGGTCTATTCTGACTGCTGTAGCCTTAAATTTGGAATTTGGACCAATCTGGAGGCTTGGATTAGGAGGCTTGGATCAGAAGGGCTGAATTTAGACCAGTTTGGGCCAATCAGTAGGCTCAAATTTGTACCAATCACTATGCTTGGACTTGGACTATCCAAGGCCTGAATCCAGACCAATCAGCAGGACCCAAATTTGGACCAATCACAGGCCTGCAGCTTCTATAAAAGCAGAGCTCCCTTGCACTTTCTAGATTGGCTGCACTGTTGATTTTTGGCTTACTGGTTTGTTCTGCTGCATGGGTCTTGTTCCAGTAAAACTTTCTCTTGGTGCTCTTGTAAATCTGCTCATGAGTGTGGGCTTGGAAGGTCCTGTAAGTCTCCCCAGAGTTATTTACTAAGTAAGGTGGACAGAATGCTTAGAATTATAAACATACCAGCAGCCCGCAAAGATCAGCAGTAGGGAGCAGCAGCTTGGCAGAGTGCACAGATGGCAGCTGGTGGTGGCTATGTGAACAGCTGTAATGCTAAGGGCTGAGGGCCATTTGCACTTGAGTCTCAGGATGCTCCAGAGCTACACTTTGCTGATACCATGAATCAAGCAGAAGAACCTTTACCTGAGCGGTGACATTTTCTTCCCTGGTGCTCTTCTCCTGCACTCTGTGTCCTGGAACTGTATGCCTTTCCGCCATGATGTCTCTGGGTTGGAGTCAGCCAGCCATGGACTGAACCCCCTGAAACCATGAACCAGGTAAACCATTTCCTTCTTGGAAGTTATGTAGGTCAGGCATTTTGTTCCAATAATGAAAAGTGAGCTCTAGAGTCAGTAAGTGATTCCTTTAAAAGCCAAAGGTCACAATTAACCTACCATAAAGGCCGGGAAGCCAGGAGTCCCTGGCTCTTAATGAGGATGCAGTGATTGGGGAGAACAGGAGATGTGTAGGGAGGATGCAGAAGGACCCCTTATAACTGGGGCGGTATAGAGACACAGGGAGTCTGGACTCTGGCCTGGGGGATCATGGATGGATGGGGGCAGGTGTGCTAAGCCATGGAACACTGCAGCTACTTAAGTATTTGTGGCTTCCCAAACCTGACATTTATGTGGCTCAGTCTGAGAGCATTGTGTTCCTCTCTCCCATCCACCAGGGAAAGCTCATTTTGTAGATGAAAAGCAAACAGGAAGACTGGACAACTTGCCCATTAGCACATAGTAAGAGGCGGAGCCCAGAACCCAGACCTGCTTGACTCTACCCTCCAGCTGGGTGTCAAGCTTTGGAGGTGCTGATCTTCCTGGAAGTCTGGTTAAAACCCAAATGACAGGGCCCCATCCCATAGAGATCCTATTCTTTAATTGAAAGACCAGAGAGGGGTCTGAGCTTTGGCATTTCAAACAGATTTCTGGGAATGCTGATGCTGGGGCCGTGAACTGCACTGGTACTGCACAGTCTAGGTCAGTGAGTAACAAGAGGACATCCTTGAGAGGTTTTGGGGGTTGCAGGATGACAAGGCCTGGGAGCAGGAGTGGGCAGGGTGTGTGCTGCTGAGAGCAGGGACAGCTGAGTCTGGGCAGGAGGCAGGCTGGGGTGTGGGGAAGATGGAGCAAACAGGTTGGCCAAGGACAAGAGCCTGGCTCTGTATACCCTCTCTGCCCCATCCCTGTCCCTCCTCCTCGGCCAACCAGGGGAGCAGTATCAGGCAGCACCCGCCTCCCCACAGAACCCCATAGAGGCTTTCTCTGACTGGATAATTTCCCCAGAAGCTGATTCCTTCTGCTGGGTGTGATAAACCCTATTTCATAAAGAAGACATGAATGGCTGTAATCAGATGCAATGTTTGCTACGCTAAACAAAATGAGCAAAGGAGAAAAAAATGCAGTCAGGCTATAATTATGGGTGTAATATTTCAGCCCATTAGCAAAAAATATCTCAGAAACCTGCTGCCCCGCCTTCTCAGCTAAAAAATTGGATGCTAAGCTGATGAAGGCAGGCCAGAGCGCAGAGCACTGAAACAGAGGCCTAGTTAATTGCTCACACAATTTCTTTTTCTTTTTGTTTTTGGCTGCCAGTGGGTTCTGACAATTCTGAGTCTTTTGCCGCACCAGATAAAAAGAGCATTTGTCACCCCTGGCAGTGCCACTCTGAAAGCTGCTTGATTTCCCTGGGCTCCACTGCCTGGCCTGGCCCAGGTTGAGTCAAGGGGTACACTTGGTGAGTTCAGGTTTTTCCACGAGAATACTTGCCTTTGGTTGCTTCCTATGTGCTGGGCACAACAAAGATGGCTTTGAATATCTCACATCATTGTCCCCTTTGGGAGGGTTGGGAGAGGTATCATGGTGTCCTTGTCCCAGGACCTGTGGCCATTGTGGAGGAGCAGCTGGGGCTCCTTTGCCTGGGGATTTTTTTTTTGGTACCTGGTATTGAACTTGGGTCCTTGTGCTTTCGAGGCAGGTGGTGGAACCACTGAGCAAAATCCCCGCCACCCCCCACCCCATGTCTCTTGATCAGGCTGTCTGGGACCAGGCTCAGGCTGACTTCCTTGTGGGGTTGCTGGAAGTCATCCTTGCCCAGTTTCCTCCCCAGCCCTGCCCTGCCCCCCTAGTCCTGGCTCAGAGTTCATTCTCCATTAATCACCGGCTGCCTGGAGCCTCTTCTCAGAGTCTGCTACTAATGACCATCATTTTCCCCCGAGAAGACAGTCATCGGCGCTGGAAACCCAGCTGAGAAGTTTGGGGCTGGGGTGTGACTAGGGCATCATCAGACCCCAAAGTCTCCCTTGGCAGCATCAACAAGAGCCCCTCCCACCTGCAGATCTCGGATTGCCTGAGAGTTTTTCCTGGGGCAAGGCACATTGCTGAGTCAGCAGCCACCACCCCCTGCTGGAACTCAGCGCTGTCCAGGGGATTCTGAGAGCAGAATCCAGGCCTTTCCTGGGGCCTCTCTTGTTTCCTGCCTTTTACCTCCACTTACCAAGCTGGGGGAGTCTGACCACTTCCTGTGTAGGTACTTATTTATTCAGTTTTGCAACCAGCTGCCCATCTAAACCTTGGGTCCCTTCACTCCATTCACCCATCCATCCACTCATCTGTCCTTTTGTCCGTCCACCCTCCGACCCACCAAAGCCTTTCTGTGTGTCAGGCCTTGCCCTCCCTGTCAAGCCAGGGGCAGGTAGTTATCTAACAGTGTGATCGATCCGTGACAGAAGGGGGTCCTGATGGTCAAGAAAGTCTTCCCAGGCACCTGAATTGTGCTGTGCCAGGTAAGCCGGGACAGGAGGGCAGTGGGGTGACTGTTCTGGCACAGAGAGCAGCAGCTGTGACGCCACGTGAAGGCCAGAGAGGGGTGCACGTCTGTAGCACTCACCTTTGGGCTCCGGGAGAGCAGAGATGGGCTTGTCCCTTGCTAGAGGAGTGAGGGATCCTGGAGAGGTGGGTGCTCGTGAGAGGAGGTGGTGGAGCCGGCTGACCTTCATCGTCTAGAGGGTCACTCCAGGAGCCGGTGGGAAGAAAGCGAGATGGAGGGAGGGCCCTCGAGAGACACCGGAGGTGTTCCGTGATGGAGACGGAGGCAGGGAAGGAGGGAGTGGGCTCCTGAGCGAGAGGAGGAGAGCAGGAGGCGTTCTGTTCCGTAGAGAATGGGGCTTGGGCTCTAAGGGGAACTGGGAGGCGAAGAGAGGGAGGGTCAGGGTGAGTGCTGGTGTCCGGCCTGTGTGGTGGCAGAGGTGACCCGAGTTAGGAGGAGGCGGGCGGCCTGAATCCTGGAGCCAGGAGTGGCAGTGTGTACAGCTCCAGGCAGGGTGGGTTGAGGAGCCTGGGGGTTTCCGGTAGCTTGTCCTGGAGATGATGGGGTGACTGTGTTAGAATCCCTGTCGGAGACAGGGCTGGGATAAAGAAGCCGGCGTCACCAGACTAGATTGGCTCTGACTGATCTGGGAAAGCCGGGAAAGGCTGGAAGCCAACAGGCCCCACTCTCCGGGTTAGTAGGGCGTCCTTTTCCCTGGTGCTGGCCGTGGTGCCTCCCACACCCTATGCTAGTACCACTTAGTGCCGACCTTAAGGGATACATCCGGGCCGCAGTGGGCCTTCTCCCACTGCTCTCCTGTCCCCTTCGGAGTTCCCTGGACCTGGGTGTCTGCATGCAGAGAGGACCCCTTCTCCTGGAAACTGGGACGTAGTTCTTCCTGGCACGGTTGCTCACCCATCTCAGCCAGAAGCTCAAAGGTCAAGTCTGCCTCTGCCACTCGTTTTAGAAATGTTAGGTTAGTAAATTACTGTGGGGGCACTGTAAGAGATGACATCCCAGAACAAACCCTAAGTACATATGACAGACCCCTCACCCTGCCCACAGCAGCCCACGTCCCATCCCTGGTGATAGTTATTGTGTTCCCAGAGTCCCGCGTGCCCTGCAGACTGCTCAGCGCTGGATTTCCCTGTTCATGGATGCTAGGCATACTTTCCATGAGAATGTACACAGCTCTACCTTCGCTTTTCTTAAGACTCACAGAAGTTTATGATAGAAAATTTGGAAATTAAGAACAAAAGACCCAAACCTTCCAGCATCCTAAAATGTCATTACCCAGAGGATGATGATTAACACTCAAGAAATTAAAAAAAAAATTCAAGAAATAATATATATATATAGTTTACTGTTACTTGGCAGTAATAGAAAAAAAGAAACTGAAATTGGAGATAAAGAATTACAGAACTTCAAATGGATTTTTCTTTGAAATAAGAGATGTTGAGCCCAGGCATGGTGGTGTACACTTGTAATCCCAGCACTCTGGGAGGCTGAGGCAGGAGGATTGCAAGTTTAAGCCCAACCTGAGGGACTTTTTGACTTAGTGAGACCCCGTCTCAAAATAAAAAATAAAAAGTTGGGGTTGTGTCTCAGTGCACAGTCCCTGGATCAAATCCCCAAGTATGGGGAGTGGTGCTTTTTAAAGTTTTTTCCCCCCTCTCTATTTATTTATTTTTGAAGCCAGGTCTCACTTATAGCCCAGGCTGGCCTTGAACTCATGGAGATTCTCCAGTCTCAGCCCTCCGAGGGTTGGAATTAGAGATGTGTGTCACCATGCCCAGCTTAAGTTTTCTTTCTTTTTTTAAACATTAAAGGAAAAAGAGGTTGAAGTTATTTAGATATAACTCAGTAATTTCTTTTATAAAAATCAAAAGAGACAACTTATCCCTAAGAAATCAACAGACTAGTTTATGTGCATACAGTCGAGTGTTGCTATTTGGGGTGGGGGATTGGTTCCAGGACCCCCACAGATAACAAAACCCTTGGATATCTAAGTCCCTTATGTAAAATGATGTTAAATCATAGCTAAATTGCTTACACTAGCAAATATCACATAAACATGATGTAAGTAGTTGCTACACTATATTGTTTAGAGAATCATGACAAAAAGTTCATACACACTCAGTATAGAGGCACTTTTTTCTCTTGGATATTTTCAATTTGTCGTTGGTTGAATCTTTGGATGTGGAAACCGTGGATTTGGAGGGCAGACTATATATAATTAATATAAAAGCTAAGCTTACGGCCAGGACACTTCATCAAGAACAATTACTGAAGTACTCAATCACTTTCAAAAGCAACTCACATACCATGGAGAAAGTTACCACTTGTCACCAAACAGAGAAAGTGTGAATGCAAAACCTGCCTTGATTGCTTCTTCCCACGTTACCTGGTCAAGGGCTGGTTTACTCTGGGTGGAGAAAGCATGGCTTCCCACCCTGCTATGGTGGCCTGTAATTATGCCATGTGAAGGAGCTCCTTTTGTATCCATCTAGACCACCCTTGCAGCCCACTGTTTTCCCAGAGTCTCATTGACCTTCCATTTTCACTTCTCAGAAGGTCTCATGCCGCCGGGCGTGATGGTGCACGCTGCCTGTAATCCTAGCACTCAGGAGGCTGAGCCAGGAGGATTGCTATGAGTTCGAGACCAGCCTGGACTACATAGTGAGTTCCAGGTCAGTCTCAATTACATAGTGAGACCCTGTCTCAAAAAAAAAAAAAAAAAAAAAAAAAAAAAGAAGGTCTCACACCTTGATCTCATCATAAATCTCAGCGTCCCAGCTTCTCACTCCCAGGATCTGGACAATGCTCTTTGTTCTCAAAGTCATTCCTCATAGGTCCTTTGATTTCTTGTTTTAATTGGCGCTCATTGTTCACAAGGCCAGTGGTACAACTGTCCCATGAATATTCCTTTTTAATTGTTTTTGTGGGTTAATTCTATGAATTTTTGGACCTATTGTTTTCCTCTCTTGGATTCAGTTTTCATTTTGCTGGTGTATATCCTGAAGGAATTTACCGAATGGGTAGAAGTGTGAAGCAAAATAAATTCCAGTCCCTGAATGTGTAAAAATGCCCTTACTGTGAAACTCCAGCTGATTTCCCCTCAGAATGCTGGAGCCTGTGCTCTAGCAAGCTCCTTCTAGCAAGCTCCACCGTACAGGAAAGATCCAGCGTTAGCTTGGCCGTTGTTTCTCTTTAAGTACCCACATTTTTTTCCTTAAGAGATTTTAAACTTCCTCTTGATGGTTAGAATTCAGAAACATTCCCAATTTCCTGAGAAGTGTGTGACATTATTATTACTACGACTACTATTATTACACATGCTCTAGTTGGCGAAAGTAGGAGATGGCTACTGATTTTGGTCAGGTTGGTTTCCCTTCTCCTGGGGAATCCCACCGCTTGCATCAGTCCATGTAATTCTGGACATCTAGTAAGAAAGTGACCTTTCTCTCCCTGCCCTGGGTAGCTTATCCCATCATCCATCTCTCCAGCCGAGGGGTGTGCTGGCTGTGTGTCGGGGCCATATGTCTCGGGCGAGGCCCGGGAAAGTGCTTTTTGGAGGTTGGTGTGATTGCTAGAAGAGAGACAGTTATGTTCTTTTCTCCGGTTTGGAACAAGGATGAAGTAAGATAGGAACTTCGAGAGGCCTTCTTGGCCACCACACGTAGAGAGCCTGCCTGGGAACAAACGTCACCCAGTGAAGGAGGAGGAGAAGTATAGAGGGAGAGGGGTTGAATGACTGCCCACTTCCGGCCGTCTGGATGCAGGCCGCAGAGAAGCCAGATCCACCAGTATGTGCATTTTTTTTTCTTTGAACTGTTTGAATTGGGTTCTATCAGATGAAACCAAAAGAATCCTGGTAATGTAGTGATCTGTTTCGACTCGGAAATTTGTTATTTTTTATCAGCTTGAGAGGTTTATTTTATTATTTGATATTCCTTTCCTTTCACGGCTTCATCCCCCACCACCTCTGAAACTCTTACTAGTTGTGGGTTGGCTTTCTGGAATTTCATCTCCATCTCTTTTTTATCTCTCCTTATTTAAAACATCGCTTTGACATTTTAATCTATCTTCTGAGACATTTCCTCAATTGTATTGTCCAGAAATCTGATTCAGTCTTCTCTTCCATTCCAACCCTTTTATTTACCTCTCCACTTACACTAGTATATTTTTAATTTCTCAAACCCTTTCTGTTCTCTGCTTGTTCCCTTTCCGCCGGAGTGAGCTGCTTTCGTCTTATGGGTACAGCATCCTCCTGGAGAATTAACGTCAGGTCTCCTTTGTTTGCTGCTCTAGCTCTGTTTGCTCTCCAAGCTGCTCTGCTCTCCTTGTTGTTTTCTCTTTTATGTGGTTTATCTTCCTAAAAACACGGTAATCCTGAGACAGCCATTAAAATGCTCAGATAAATAGCTAGGTTGATCAGTAACTTGGCTGGGGTGGATCTTTCCCTTTGCAAGTTACACAGTCTACATGGAAGACAGGCCTGTGTCCTGATGGGAGGTGTCCAGGTGAGGCTGCTGATAGAGCAAGCTCAGATCTGCCACTGTTGCTGATGCCAGACTGGCTTTTCCTCTAAGCCTGTCATGCTTTAGTGCAGAGGAGTTTTTATCTATGAGATCTCCCAAGTCCTTAAACTCTTCCAAGTTGTACACACCTCTAGTAGGATTCAGGGGGAAGAGGGAATAGGGATAAACTATTCAGGCTTCACAAAACATTCTCATCAGAGCATTAGCAAAAATAACAAGGAGCTCAATTTAAAATTTGCATTGTTTTAAGAACACATGTTAAATTTCTGATAAGCAACAACAACAGCAAAACTGCTATAAATACTGGGTTTTAGTTTTTGAAAAGTGAAAGCGGCTTAATGCAGGAAGCACAGGGTAAGATCTATGTTCTGAGTTAGGAAAGCAAGCGCTAAATAAAAATGCGCAGAGAACAGGGAGAAACATAATGAGCCCTTCCAAGACAATGCAAGGGCCCCGAGACAGGCTGTAGGTCACAGGCGTTGTTTCTGATTCTTGTGTGACTCTGGGTTCAGCTATGGTGACTTGGAAGGAGGCAGGGGTAATGTGGCGGGGAGATCGTGTAGAAACCAGGGCGACCTCTGCATTATGCTGAGCGAAACCCTCAGCGGGGGTAGAAGTGCAGGCGCCTTTCCCCTGCGGAATCTTCTGCCCTCCCGGTTCCCTGAACAGTGAGGAGGTTAGGATGAGCGAAGATGCCGAAAGGCCTGAGGACCCCCGTTCTGTTCTGAGAAGCGTTCTCATGACTTTTTCCTGGGGGTGAGCAGTTCTGTGTATTCAAGTGCTTTCCATTGCCCAGTGAGCTTTCTGTTCTGACACTTTTTCCAATAGGATTTTGGTGTGGAGAGAAGTTAAACTCTGTGTACTCAGTCTGTATCCCAAATTAAATTTTTTTCTTTGCCTCAGGCCTTTTCCAATTTCGAGCCTTACTTTATTATCTGGAAGATGGGAATGACAGGAATATCAGGGCTGCCTACCTTATCAGGTTTGGGGGTGGCTGAAAGGATAGGGATCACTGGTGAAGAAAAAGGGCAGAGGAGTGTAAGTTGTCATTAACTCATGGAGGAGAAGCCCTAATTTGGCAAAGAAAAAAGTGGAACAGGTTGGATGCAGGTTTTTTTTTTAAACACAAGGTACTCAGAAACCTCCGGTCTTCTTGGCTCTGGGTCCCAGGCTCTTTCCAGGCCCTGGTACGTAGTGGTCTGCAGACTTCCAGGCTGGGGCTTCAGGGCTGGGAGTAGAGTATGTGAGAGAGAGTTCAGAAGAGACAGAGATGGCATAAATAATTCAGCGATTGCCACTGTGGGCCATTAAATTTCCCATGATCTGTTTTATTAT